CTAGTAAACGACTTGAAATTCTCATGTTCGCTTGAAACAACAGGAAACTTTGCCGAGGAACCACCATTAAAATCAGCCATTTTAAGTAGCAGATGAAAATTCAGAGGAACTAAAAGTTTTTTTCCTTTAAAATCGCTTTAAGAAAATAAAAAGTTTCACAGAGAACACCGCTTATGAGAAGAAATAAATTGCAATTTGAAACCATTATGTCAATTTTGTGTCTCTTCATCTGCAATTTGCTACAGTGAATTAGTGCTATTGGAAACCACAATGCATGTATCTTTATATTGTCTTTGTAATAACACTGCAAACGTACTACACAAGAATAAGAATAAGAACATTCTAAAAATAGTTAAAAAGCTAAAAATATACAATGTACAATCAAATTAGTATAAAATCAGCGTACCAAAAAAATATCGCACTGAAAAATCAATCGGGTATTTAAAACTTATATTGTCTTAAAAAAAACTCATAACTTTCCACTTTTAAACAAATTACAACTAGCGAAACATTTACACTTACTTACACTTAATTAAACTGACACATCAAAAAGATCACTCAAATATTTAAAACTTATATTGTCCTTTTTTTTAAGTACTCATAACTATTACGCACAACGTACTTACACAATATTAAAACGACACATCAAAATATAATTATTGTTAGTTTGTCATACTACTTCTTTTTTTAAAAAAATAAAAATAAAAATAAAAAAAACTTTATCTCAATATAGAATACATATTATTCACTCTAAATTCACGAAATATAATTACAACAAATAATTCATTATATTCCAATGCAACAATACGATCGACAAAAATCAACCTCCGAAATTTTCCATTTTGAACTATCGCGCGCCTCGCGCGCGATAAGGCAACTTGTTAATTAAAAAAACCGAGCATAGCTCGAGGATTAACTAGTTTGGTAGTATAAAAGGGTGCTCGCTGCCCAGTACCTAGTAGGGGTTTATCATTCCCCCCCCCCTTTTTTTTTTTTACAAAGGGAGCAACAAAAAAAGAAAGAAACTAAAAGGTATAAAAAAGTAACTCCCTACGCCTAGCATCTGTGGCAAGAGAATGTGCCTCCGGAACCAAAACCCAAGTGACCTTCCGAATATGACACGTAACAAAAGAGGATAAAAGATCCTGGATCTCCTGCAGATTCGAAACAACTGAAATATCTAGAGCCCCAAGATCCCAGAGTAAGTGAGGAATCCTCATGCAGTCATTGTGAATGCAAATATGAGTAAAACCCCGTTGCCGAGCATGCTTAAGCCCATAAAGACAAGCTAATAATTCATAATGAAGAGCAGAGCTAGCCATACAAGCCCGGGCACCACCCCCCGGAGCTTGGAAGAAGACAACTGACGAAAACACTAACCAGTACCAGCATTAAAAGTCCCCTGATCCCAAGCACCATCTAAAAGCATCAAGACACCACAGGTAGCATAATGATCACCCCGAAGAACCCAACTTAGAGGAGGAGTAGAGAACCCAGGAGGAGAATTAGGAGAAGAGCCCGAAATTTCATGAGCTTTCTGGCTACGGGAACACCAATCGAAAGCAAAGTCCAGCACAGAAAGAGGGGAGTAAACCGCCGATCTAAACCTAATATTATTCCGAGTTAACCAGATAGCCTAACACGTACCAAAGAAAAGATCTAGGGCACCCCAATTTTAAGAACCAACAAAGCTTAAGATGACATCTGAAAATCAATTGAGGAAGGGAAGCGGTGTATCTGGTGTGGGACCCGTATCCCAAGGAAAGGAATCCCAAAGGAACCGAGAAAATGAACAATCCTGGATTAAGTGATCCACAGACTCAACAAAGCCACGACAAAAACAGCTAGTCGAGTCAATCAGAAGACCTTTGAGAAAAAGTAAAGCTGCCGTAGGAAGGGCATTGTGCAAAACCTTCCAAGCCAAAATCTTCCATTTCGGAAGAATAGGTAAACCCCACAAGCGTTTCCACCAAACAAAAGGTTATTCTGAGAAAGGATCAATGTGTAAGCTGATTTGGTAGAAAAGGAGCAATCCCGAGTAAATTTCCAGTAAACATAGTCATCAATCTACTAAAACGGACGATCCAACCCAAGGATCGCTGACGCAACCGAATCAAGGAAAAGATACCGAACCAAGGAAGCATTCCAAGAACACGAGTCTGGAGCAATCAACTCTAACACTAAAGAAGGCCAATCTCCCTCAGGAATATAATGCTTAAAAGTAACCTTTACATTGGGTAACCAGTAATCATTAACAATACTAATTTTAGCTCCCGAACCAACCTTCCAAGCAGCACCAGCAGATAGAACAACACCCCCCTCTACTAACCTAATGTCGTGACACGACAAAATATGCCGTGACACGGGAAAGCCTTGTGTGACGTGGGATATTTTGGAGACGTGAGACAGAAAATAGGCTACAAAAGATAAAACACGTGAAGGGTTTACAAGGAGAAAACACGAGAAAATTCCGTGACACGGCACACGTACCGTGACACGGTAGTGTCCACCATGGCACGGTACAGTACACCGTGTCACTGTAAAAAAGTGCGTGAGAAAACGCGGAAAATACACGGAAAAAGCACCGTGACACGGTGAGAAATGTCGTGTCACGGCAATTGTTACAGCACCAGGCACCGTGCCACGTCAGATTTTGCCGTGACACGGTGCTTTTACACCGTGCGCGAAAATTCCAGTTTTTTACGCATTTTTAAAATTATCATAACTTTTGATCCGTAACTCGGAATAAGGCATATAATATGAAATTGGAAAGCTTATCAAGTCTACTTTCCAAACCAATTAAAATCATATTATAATATCATTTATAATATAAGATATGGCCGAAATAGTGAGACGGTGTCAGTTTTGGATAGAGTTTGATATTTCATTCATATCTTTTTCGTTATAGCTCGGAATTGATATTATAATATATCATTGGAAAGATAATTTCAAAGTCTATCCGACCATTTTAGATTATTTGGATAAAAACTATGAGGCACGAAAATAATATCTAACTATCTTTGAATGTCTTTCAATTCGAATAAAATTAGGACTTTCAAAAAGAAAAGCTTTATTCAATTTCAAACTTTTTAATCTTATCTTTTCATAAAGGATAATTAAGATCTTTTAAAAACTTATAGAAACTTCTAATTAATCCTAATTTTTTTAGAAATGGGATTAAATCCTTTGGACCCTCCACATGATCATTGGGTCGTAGGTAAGGTGGGCTTAGGTTCGGTTTGGGCTCAGTGTAATATTTTGGTCATAACTTATTCGTTATAGCTCGGATTTGGGCTTATAATATATCGTTGGAAAGCTCTTTTCAAACCCCATCCAACTATTCAATCATTGGACCTAGATTATGGACCAAAATAAACTGGATTAAACGTTTTTATAAAAAGGACACAAAATGAATGATTTTGGGTTTAAAGGCACGAAAAGAGGAAAATAAGTTATGGTTTGGGGAAATGGGATAGGAATTGGGTTGGTTTATAAAATGAAAATATGGATTTAAGCACTCCAAAGATTAAATACTCAACCCGACCAATAATGGCGGTGAAAGGTTGTTCATCATTGTGTTTGGTTTTGGGGAGACATTTTTAGGTGTTTACAGGCCTCAATAATCTGGGAACCCACCACCGCCTAGTGAGACTTAAAGAAACCTGCTGTAAACCCATCTGGACTTGGAGATTTATCTGAACAATATGGAACATTGCATCCTTAATTTCTGAAAGGGTAAAAGGACGTAACAGAAACTGGCAATCTTCGGGGGAGAGAGACGGGATCTCCAAATCTTCCCATTGACAAGGAGCAGGAGAAGGAGAAGAGCCATAACTACTAAACAAAAGAAGTGCTACTGGAGGAGATCATAAATCTGAGGATAGTTAGAAACCTAGTTATCATTTTCATCCCGAAGCCCCATAATTTTATTCCGACGATGACTAGCTTGCACCGAGTGAAAGGGAAGACTGGAATGAGTGTCCCCTAAAGCATCCCAACGAGTCTTACGTCGTTGTTTCCAGAATAAGAAAGCGATCTAGGCCCGAGAGAGTTTATCCTAACGAAGAAGGAAGCAAAAGATCACTCCGATCCTTCTTAGATTGCAAGTTAGAAGAACCAGAAGCCACTGAACTCTCAAATCTTGCCAGTCGATGCCCCAACTTCTCTTATGTGAAACACACCAAGACATTAAACCTTTCTAGACAGCATCTAATTTCCAGGAGACAGAGAACATATGAGAACCAGGATGAAAATTCTGCCATTCAGAAGTAATCAAAGTATAAATTTCTTTCAAACCCAAACACCAATTTTCTATCTTATATGGGCATTTCTTGGAATTGGAGAAGCCTGATTCCCGTAAAATTATAGCAGCATGGTATGAAAATAAAATTGGTTGATGGTAAATAGACGCCTTCGGAAATAGGTCTAACCAAGAAGAGGTAGCATATCCTTTGTCAAGTCTTTCATAAGTAGGATTTTGTAGCTGTCCATTAGTCCAAGTGAAATGAGGACCAAAAAACAGAATGTCCATTATCTGAGAATTCAATTTCCACTCAATAAAATTATGTCGACCATGAATCTCAGAAGAACCCCCTACTTTATCATAAAAAGACTCTACTTGGTTAAAATCACCTAAAATAACTGCATTTGGAACAGAAAATAATATGTTGGATATTTTGTCCCAAACTGAACTTCTAAAAGAAATATGAGGCGATCCGAACACAAATATAATATATTTTATTACTTGACCAGGAACCAACACTTCACAAAATATTACATTAGGAGAGATAGAGAGTGGCTTAACTACTACGGGGGCAAACCAAAAGACTGCCTTTCCACTAAGACCTAAAGCATCCATCCCACAAAAACCATCAAAGCCAACTGAAGACAACTTTTGTATAGCCATACTAACAGACACTAGAGTTTCCATGAGAAACATAATATCATTCCCCTCTTAGATAGAAATGTTGTGAAGGATATTTTGGCGCTGCAAACAAAATGATAGAGAACTTGTGCATGGATAATAGAAATGAAGTACAATTGTTAATTGCACAAAAAAATTGAAGAATAATTGTACAATTTTCAGTCCACATTTCACATTAAAAAAGAAGCGACAATAAGAGCTAGGACGAGGCAATGACTCTTATGTCTCATCTAAAACAGTGCCAAGTACAATCAATTAACTTATGTAACATTGCCAAATTTTCAGCTAAAGCAATGCATAGTTGCTGCTAGGAAAAAAAAAACGACGACGACTGCCATTTCAGAACAGAAAGCTACCAAAACTGCAATACATTTAGAGTTGAAATATTTAGTGAACTCTCAAGGACTGCTTTCACCACCAGAAAACCATTGCCAAACACCCCGCGAACCTTGTCTCTGTACTGATGTATTGTGCTCAACCTGTTCAGTGAAGAATTTTTCTTTTCTTAGTGATTGCACTTCAGCCTCTACAGAAGGGAGTGATTCCAACATGCCTTGTAATTCTGCTGTCTGTGCCTGGTAGACATTTAACAGAACAAAATGAATTCATAAGATCAACTATGCGTTTAGAAAGCATGTTCAGTATAAATAGAATAGTTGCAGCCTTTGCAGAAGGTACCTCCAACTTGAAACATCTTGATCTCTCTGATATCAACTGACCTTGAACAGAAGCAAGTTCCTAAAGAAAGAATATGTCCTTTTCAAATAAAATTCACAAGTTGCAGCATTGGCAGTTTGGCACCATATAAGGATTGATAAACTGTATACCTTGGATAATTCTTCATGGTTACTGTTAATTTCATCCATCTTTCCCTTCAGCTTAGAGTTTTCTTCTCTAACTTCAGCAAGTGACAATTCCAAGAGTCTTTTTGCATCTTTAACACTAGTCGTACCAGAAAAACCATCCTGCTTTTGACCTGCACCTTCTACTTCAGTGTTCTCTGTCTTGGTTGAATCCAACTGCTTCCCTGAACCAATAGAATAAGCTGCAGCAACGGATGCTGCTGCTGCAGCTGCGGCAGGGGACAGGTACATTTTAGGACGTGCAGAGTCGTTCAGTTTAGGTCTCATAACAAGTACCTAATAATAAAAGGTAGAAATAGCAGACTGTCAGCCATCTTATCTCTTATTTTTAGACAAGGAATTTTGAATCTAAAAGAGTATCAATTAAGGCTTCTTATATTTAACCTTCATCCAAAAGTTCATTTACTGAATCACAACACTGGAAATAGGACATCCAAATGAAAATGAAAGTATTGGGCATCAATTAAATCATTGGAAGGAGTAATGCATAAAAGTTCAAAAAATAATATGCATGGTTCATAAGCTGTACATAGTGCACACCAATGATGCACGGGTACGCCGAAGGGTGGCCGTTTCCCGTACTGGGGACGTATCGGGGACGGGGTACGGCCCAAATACGTCCCCATGGCGTACCCTCGAAAGGTGGTACGGGAAGCTATTTTGGGACGGCTGGGAGGAGCTCCGGAAACGTTTCGGAGACGGATCTTCTTCCATTTTGACGTCCCCAATACAAGCCCAACCCATTTTTTAGAAAAAAAACCCCAAATTTTCTTATGTCCGGTTAATTTTTCAAAACCCTAGAAATTGATATGCCAAGATTTCTTGGATTCCTTGCCGGCGACCACCTGCTGCGACCCACGAGGCCATGATTCCTTGCCGGCAACCACCTGCGATCCACTCAAAAACCGGCGACCACTTGCAATCCACTCAGACACCGGCGATCACCTGCGATTCTTTCTACTTCTATTTCTACAGACTAAAGTTTTTTCATTTTAATGGTTAATGTGATTATTTGAATAATATTTTTTTACTTTCAATTTACAGATTACTGGACAGTAGCCTCAGTCAGGGCCCTCAACAAGTCAGTAGGTTTGTCGTTTTTTTTTTTTTTGAAACCTGTTTGTCGTTTAATTTGTGCTTTGTTTTATTTTATTTTTTTCTTTTCTTTTTTTCGTTTCAAGTGGTTATAATTATGTGTTAAAAAAAATAATTAAAATAATATTATATAATTATCATGTTACTATGTGATTAAAACATTAATTTATTTTGAAACTTTTTATGTATTTATATTTTGCTAAATTAATTTTTTCCATATCCATGCCGTACCCGTTTTTTGAAAGTTTGAGTTTGCCGTATTCCGTCCCCGTATCCGTACCCGTTTTTGTCCCCGTATCCGTTTCCGTGCAACCTAGGTGCACACTATGCATGCTCCTCACAAAATTTAGATGTCAGCCTCATATTTCTTAGATTTCTTTAAAACCAATTTGAATAAAAACATCATTTTTGTGAGATTTTTATGAATCTTCTACCTAAAAGAAGTATTTATGTGTTCGCTAGATTGAGGTTATACTCTCTCCAATCTAGAGAGTAATGGGTTATATGAACCATTCTTGAGGGTTATTGGCCAGAATTATTAAGGTTGAAACTAATTCATGACAAGTTCAAAACACTGAGTTAAATAAATAGGATTACAAAGTCTCTACATACCTCATTGTTATAATTTCCATTATATCCACCAAAAGCAACTAAATATTGGTCCCCATGAATGTGAGCTAAGCAGATGCTGATTCCCTGCTCAGAAGAAAGTAACAATTATTATCCAGTTTCATTCATTCATTAAACAGAATAAAGTACAAAATATCTCAAATTCAAAGGTGATGTCTCCTTAAGTTACACAAATAATTTTACACCACCCACCGCAAAGTTGTAGAAATATAACTATATATATATATATATATATATATATATACAATGAGTAAATAAACTTCGTAAAATCTCTCTATATAAAAAGTCTATTGGTAAGAGTTTGATATAACTCTCTGCATAATATCATCTATCTGGTCAAAGACAAATCAAAATAGTTGCAGTCATAGATTAGTTTTATACTCAACACTTATCTTAATCATTCAGCCACTACATGTTAAAAGGACAATATATGACAAAGGTTGTACTCCCTCCTTTTTTTTTTTTCCTTTTAAGTGTTAAATTTTTTTATTTAAACAAGGATGCTTTTTATTCATTATTTTTTACAGTGTTACACTTCTTTTTTTGGCAAACTACATTTTAATATTATTTATCTCCTTTCATGGTCCCAACACAAGCACACATACCTAACACTACCTTATTTTTATAAAAGGGAAATTCTCTTTGATAACACCAAAGTTTTTAATTTTCTCAATGGTGAATGGTAACAAAACTTATTATCATTGATAAACTTGAAAATTTTATATAATGTTAATTATGACATTAATGATAAATTTTGACTAAATAAATTTTGCCCAACCGCACCTCTCCTTCCCCACTCCCTTCCCCAAATTAAGCTTCCCAACCCTCGAAACTCCATCCCGAAAATTCCCTAACAATCTCTCCTGCCCAAACAAAATCAGTTCATAGGAAGCTAATAAATCGTCGCTTTCATTGTCTTCTGGCTAGTAATCTCCCCAATTTGATCCTTCAAATTGGGATTTGTAAGAGAGAAATTGGAGATTTTTGCAAGAGACCAGCCCAGACCTGAGGTGCGTTTCACATATGCAAAGAGGAAGCCCAAAAAGGGCCTGATAAGAGATCTTGAGCTGGAATAATGAGCTGGGAGTTAGTTACGGAGAGGGGTAAATCAGTAATCAAGGGAATAAGTTTGTTAGTCCTTGTTTTGTGTGTTGAGTTTGTTATTTCTGCTTGTTAGTTATTTTTGAGTATTTAAGGAGGGATTGTGAAGGGGAATGTATCTAGAAAAGTATTGTGGAAATCATTACTTGGAGAGCATCCTTTCCTCTCGAAAGAAGGGAGTTGTATTGTGGTTTCTCTGACTTGCAATACAATATATCATATTTTGGCTGCTGTTTCTCTTAATCAGCTTATATTGCTCTGATTCTGTACTAATCTCTAGCAATTTTTTTAGGGTTGGGGTTTTGGGTAGAAGTCAAGAATTGAGACGAGGGATGGAGAATCGAGGTGGAGGGAATGGGAGGGAGAGTTCGACAGGGGAGGGGATCGGGTTGCCGGCGGCAAGCGGAGTGGGGAGCTAGCCGCCGCCGGCTAAGGGAGGGGTTAAATTCTGGGGTGGAGATGGGGGTTGATTTTTTAAAAAAAACATATATTCCTAAAATTATTTTAATACTATAAAATTAAATAATTAACCATGGTTAAAGAATTTTATTAAAAATAACTATTATCTTTGGTAACAAAAAATACAATGTTACCAATGATAATAAGTTTTTTTACAATTCACCACTTAGAAAATTATAAAGTTAAGTATTACCATTGAGAATTTCCTTTTAAAAAAATTTTATATCTACACTTCATCCCTTAATGTACAATAAGGAATACTTGTCAATTACAACCCGTAAAAGTACCAATTTTACTGGTTACAACCACCAAAATTTATTTTTGCAAATTACAACAAAAAAGTCACCAAACATTGTAAACTACAACCAAAATCTTATTTTCGGCTACTTTCACTGGAATATAATGTCACTAATCATTTATTGATTTAAAAAATAACCACCAGCCAAAACTAGTTTGGAATCATTTATTCCAATAAAAGTGGCTGAAAATCGGATTATGGTTGTAATTTGCGAAAATAAACTTTGATGGTTGTAACTCCCAACATAGATACTTTTAACAATTGTAATTGGTAAATTTTCTATACAATAATTCAATAAACTATTACCTCCACCACACTATCTTTATTTAAAATTGTTTAATACCCAACTACCCCACTTAAATCTTACTCCCTCCATCCCTAAATTATATTCCTATTGCTAGAATTTATTCCTCACATAATAGAAAAAAGTATGAATGTAATTTAGGGACGGAGGGAGTATTATATTAAAGTATTAAAATATATTTAATTATATACAACTATATGCCGGTCAAATTGTAACACTTACCCAAAAAAAACACACACACACATAAGGATACCAAGTTATCATGGGAGGATTTAAGAAATAGAGAACACTTAAAATGGATATGGGGAAAACAAAAACAAAAAAAATAAATAAATAAATTGTTTTTCCTTCAATCATTCAAAATTGTATGGATTTTCTCATATCAATTAATGCAGCCAATTTAATTGATATTTATCAAAATATTGAATTCTAGATGTTAAACCAAGAAAAGACGAAAAACAATGTAATATATAAGGCAAAAAAAAAAAAAAAAAAAAAAAAAACAAAAAACCCTAATGATAGGAACCGACTGACATTCACCACACTTGTCAAAATGCCTATGATTTAGAGACCAAGCGGGCATTTTACCCATAATGTATATGTATGTGATTTGTTGTTATGGTATTCTTCAAATTATGTCCATAATTCTATTTATTTATGTATCCCAACAGAATTTTACCCTTAAATAACTAAGAGATGTACAAGTGTATGAGGTGTCATTTACTTATATAACAAAACCCCAACTGAACCATCAATTGCAAGACACTCTGGCTCATAGGCAATCACCCTAGCCATACAAGGACTGGACTTTGGTGCACTCAGGATAGGTTGGCAAAAAGCCAACAACCCGACCTGAACCCAACCCAAAATAAATGAGTTTTGAGTGAGATTTCCAACCCATTTATGTAATTGGGTCAACCTGAACCCGAACTGAAGTTAAACAGGTCCAGGTTGGAAATTCGAACTCGAAACCAACCCTCCTAAACCCATTTAATTAATTGGGTTGGTTTTGAGTCCCAAAACCCAACCCGCATAACTTAATTAATTTAAACCCTTATTTATTTTTAAATATGGGCCAAGCCCAAACTATCTAAAGTCTAAAGGCTAAAACCCCTCTACTCACCTACCTCACATATCACGCCTTCAACCTCTCATTCCCATTCTCTATTTTTACCTCTCATTTTCTTTTTCTCTCCTCTCTCTTCTCTTTCTTGTTTTCAATATTTTTCCATTAAAATTGCTGGTTTAAACTCTTTAATCTTCATCTTAAGGTAGTTTACTTGTAAATTTCACTATCTTTACTTAATTTTGTTGTGTTTTAATTTGATTATGTTTTATAATGCTCTATTATATCTTGAATTCAATGCATGCATTATGTATTAGCTTGTTATGAGTTTATGTTTTCTCTCTGCATTTTAATCAATTAACAATCGTTAATTATCAGATTGAATTATTAGCCTAATTTTGTTTAAGTATTCTATTTGATGTGTTTTCTGGTTTTCTCTCTCTTTTGGCCTTTTGAATTTTAATCTCATGATGATGATATGTTATTTCTTCACATTTATGCATGCATTTATTTTGACTTTTCTACAGGTTTAATTTTTGCATTCTAAGTTTATATTCTGCAATTTAATTTTAATGAGGTTTGTTTCTGCTTTGTTAATTTCTTACGCATTTGAATTTGTTTTCACTTGCAAAAAAAAAAATAAGAATCCTGAAATCAATTATGGTAGAAGGAAGAAGAATTAATGATAAAGACTGCTAGAAAAAGTTTTTTGGCAAAATGGAGAAGCTTTAGATGTAAATTCTGTTGCAAAAATGTATTTCATATATAATTTGTAATACTCTGTAATATAATGTTTACAGGATGTATTTTCAACTATTGTGAGCGTTGATTTGGATAAGTTAAACATGAATTTAGTTTGTTTTTTATACACATAAATAATTTAATAAATTGTGTAAAAAAGCCTTAACAGGTCGGGTTTAGGTTCGAATTTCTGCGTGTTTATGTAAACAGGTCGGGTTCAGGTTGGGGGTTCTACCCCGTTTATATAACAGATTGACCTGTACCCGACCTATTTGCCACCCCTAACTTAGGAGCCTCCACCACTCATTGAACCTTGCTGCTAAGCCATACACCTTGATGCCAAGGAAGTAAATTATCTTATGTTTTTATCCTAAAAAGTGAGACTTCTAAGCCCTAATTCTTCCCTCATAGGCAATGGTAATAATTATAGCAAGGTAATCCAAGAAGTATCTAAAATTCTAACTACTCACTATTATACAGAGTTTTCAACAAACAACTGCAACAATACAAGGATTGTAAAAATCAACACAAATAGGCAAAGAAATCAGACCTCACTGGCAAGTGGATCTCTTGGTTTCACCGTAGTTACCACTGACCAAACAAGCTTGGTCATATCTAAGACTAGTGTATTGAGGGCTCCTGATAAAACAACCATAAAATTCAATAATAAGTGCCACCAACTCCTTGCAAAACTAAGGGAGGTAACATCTAGAAAATCGTAAAGACGAAAACCATAGACAGGTAGTGTACTTACCGTTTTTATTGTCTCCACCACCAACTATATACCAGTTTCCATGCACCGTAATACCAGAATGTCCAGCTCGGGGAGATACATAATCACCTCGAGTCTCGGGTTGAGACCACTCCATCTACACAATAGGAAGGACCAAAATTCATTTAACAGCCTAAATATAGGTAAGAAATATATTGGGTTAATGAATAGACTTCACAGGTTTTTCAGATTTATCTATTTCTCAATGAAAATACCTTATACAATTATCTAACACTACTTTGAACATTACCAAAATAAATAAATAAATATATAAAAACAGTACTCCTGTTTCAGTATTCTCCATTTTGCATTATTGGTTGTTACTAAATTACTCACCCCAATTTATCCAATTTACAGTTGAGCCACACAATAAAATATTAATCGATCCTTCCTTTACACATTACCTCGCCAACCCCTACTCTCTCCTAAAAGTAAAATAATAAACAATAATGAAAAAAAAAACACCTATCAACACCGCTAACCACATGATGGGCCCACCTTATACTCCCTCCATAACCTATGTGCCCAAACAGGGTATTCCAATGGTTGAATGTAACATTCTCTTTAAAAGAACCAAATAACTGCAACTGTTATTCCATTTGGGAGAAGGCGAATGAAGGGCTTAAGGTAGAGAGGATGAAGGTTCTTATCTCCCATTAGCAATTGCAGGCTGCTGATCTTGATAGAACCATGTCCTTAGCATTTAGCAGAAACTTGAATTGGTGTTCAGAATGGGGAACAATCTTTGTAAATGTAATTTAGCATGCTATAGTCTATATCATGATTCTAGCAAATAGTTAGCACATTCAAGTAATAGCATGGTGTCAATCTCTGGATGATGGTAATAACTTACTCAAGATTGCTGTTGGGAGGCAAACTACAGTTAAAATCTGATTCGGCGCAAATAATATTTCAGATCAAGAACTTCGGTTGGGGGACAGGAGTCTTAATCTCCCTTGATGGTCAGATATCCTAGCTAATCTTATTTGTTGAGCGTACTATCCTACTAGTTCTCTTTCTAACATAGGAGTTCCTCTTAAGAACAAGATAGACAAATTAATCAGAGACTTCCTGTTGACACAGTTGTGATACTAGGGGAATTCATCTTTATCTGCCCAAAGTTTAGGGAGGCTTAGGTCTCCAAGACTTGGTCTATGATAGACTCACTTAATCCACACAAGAAGCAAGAACTGAAAGTAACAACGGATGAGCTTTACATTAGGGAATGAGACGATGACGATTATAGGTGATCCGAGTCTAGCAAGAACAGGGGTCACGCTTAAGGCGATGATCCGCACCTTGATGAAAGGAAATGGTGGGCTACTGGTTGAATTAAGTAGTCTAAAAAGGGGTAGAGAGTAGCCTAAGGGAGGGCAGATTCCGGAATTCTTAAAAGAGGCGGTAGAGGAGTATAGTGTGGTGTTCGAAGAGCCGAAAGGGCTGCCCCTGAACCGTGGTCACGAGCACGCCATAGTTTTAAAAGAAGGGAGCAATCCGGTTAGCGTTCGACCCTATCGCTATCCACAATTTCAAAAGGATAAAATTGAGAAACTCATCAAGGAAATGTTAAAGGCCTGTATAATTAAACCGTCAACAAGCCCCTTCTCTAGCCCGGTGTTATTAGTGAAGAAGAAAGACGGTTCGTGGAGGTTTTGCGTAGATTACCGTGCTCTCAACAAAGAGACGGTGCCGAAAAATATCCGATACCGGTAATCGATGAGCTCTTGGATGAGTTGCACGGGGCTCAGGTGTTCTCTAAGTTGGACATCAAGGCGGGGTACCATCAAATCTTAGTTCGACCGGAGGACACGCATAAAACCGCGTTCCGGACTCACGAAGGGCACTACGAGTTTCTCGTCATGCCATTCGGATTTACCAACGCATCGGCTACTTTTTATGAATGAGGTATTTCGCCCTTTTTTACGCAAATTTGATCTTGTGTTTTTCGATGATATACTTGTTTATAGTGTTAGCCAAGTGGAGCATGTGACACATTTGAAAGTCGTGCTAGCAACTCTTCAAGAACACACCTTGTTTGCCAATCAAAAGAAGTGTGAGTTTGGCAAAGAAAGAGTGGCTTATTTGGGCCACATCATTTCTCATGAGGGAGTGGCAGTGGACCAAGGTAAGATTAAGTCAATGGTGGAGTGGCCCACTCCAAAATCCTTGAAAGAATTAAGGGGGTTTTTGGGCTTAACCGGTTACTATAGAAAATTTATTAGTAATTATGCCCATATAGCCCAACCACTAACAGAGCAGCTTAAACGAGATAACTGCGGGTGGTCTCCAATGGCACAAAAGGCATTTCGGAAATTAAAAGAAGCCATGACTACTGCTCCTGTTCTTAGCATGCCGAATTTCCAGAAAATTTTTGTGTTAGCGACGGATAGATCGAGATTCGGACTTGGGGCCGTGCTAATGCAAGGACGGTCGGTAGCCTTTTTCAGCAAGGTTTTGGGTCCCGTAGGCCGAGCAAAATCGATATATGAAAAAGAATTAATGGCGGTGTGTTTGGCAGAAGTGGAAACATTATTTGTTGGGAAAGAGATTCATCGTGCGAAGTGATCAACAAAGCCTCAAATTTATTGCTAAACAGAGAGAGGTAGGGTCCGAGTATCAGAAATGGGTGAGAAAGTTAATTGGGTTCGACTTTGATCTCCAATACAAGCCCGGGGTCTCGAATAGGGTGGCCGATGCCCTTTCAAGGAGAGGAGAGGGCGAATTTGGGGGCGAACTCAGTGCCCTGGTAGCCACGCAGGTGGTGAATTGGGAGTTATTGGATAAGGAAATTGCGGGTGGCGCAAATTTGTAGAAATTGAAAGAGGAGGTTGAGAGGGGAGAGGGAGCTACGGGATACTCCATTGAAAACAGCAGACTGTTGTATAAAGGAAGGGTGGTAATTCCACGCCATTCAAGCATGAAGAAAACGCTACTCCAAGCCTACCATGATTCACCGGAGGGTGGTCACACTGGAGAAACCAAAACATACCTGAGGATGGGATCGGAATGGTTTTGGGCGGGAATGAGGAGAGATGTGGCCGAGTATGTGAGAAGTTGTGATGTGTTTGACAAGCATTCCCGAGTATCTCCCGGAGGGCTATTGCAACTGCTTCCAATTCCAGTGAGGGTTTGGGAGGATATAAGTATGGACTTTATTGAAGGGCTTCCTCGTTCCCAAGGACTTGACACCATACTTGTGGTGGTGGATCGCCCGACCAAATACGCGCACTTCATTGGTCTCAAGCATCCTTTCACGGCATATAGTGTGGCAGCGACCTTTGCTCGTGAGGTTGTGAGGTTACACGGAATTCCCAGCAGCATAGTGTCCGACAGGGACCGAGTATTTGTGAGTGCTTTTTAGAGAGAGCTCTTCCAATTGCAAGGTACCGAGCTTAAGAAAAGCACATCAAAAGCACATCGTATCACCCACAAACGGATGGTCAATCCGAAGTGGTGAACAAGAGGCTTGAGACGTATTTACGCTATTTCACCGGAGGGCAACCTTAAGGCTGGGCTAAGTGGCTTGCGTGGGCGGAATATTCATAGAATACCACCCCTCACTCAGCCACGCAAGTTACTCCCTTTCAAGCCCTCTATGGCAGGGAGCCACCCAAGTTAATTCGAGTGGGCACAGGACGACTGTGAGTTCCGTAGAAGAAACTTTGCAAGCAAGAGGCTTGATGAACACAAGGCCAATCTGAAATCATGAGGAGGAGCGAAGACAGTAAGCGGCGAGATGTGGAGTTTCAAGTGGGGGATCACGTTTTTCTCAAGCCATATTGGCAGAAAACAATTGCAAGGCAACCTTTTGAGAAACTCGCGGCCAGGTATTAAGGGCCCTTTGAGGTGGTCCAAAGGGTGGGTGCCGTAGCCTACAGATTGTCACTTCCCGCTCACTGCCGCATTCATCCCGTATTCCATGTATCGCAATTGAAAAAGGCCATTGGAGACTCCCCTAACTCACCTACCATACCGGAGCACATCACCCCTGGAGTTAGTGGTGGAGCCCGAAAGTGTGTTGGAAGACAAGCCAAAGCCACGCCGAGGGCAGGGATATAGAGTGTTGATTATTTGAGTCTACGTGGGAGGATGCCGAGGTCATTCAGGAGCAATTTCAGGTGGCGCTTTTGGGGGGGGAGTATTGCAATGCACCCGCGGCCACCAATCACTCTTACAGCAGGAGACCAAGGCAGCAGCAAGGCATCAACAACACCCCTCCAACGGTTCACTAAAGCAATAGCAAAGGCAGAGAGGTTTGGCTTATTTGGGATTCACTGTGGTAACTTGGAAGAAGACAAATAGTAAAGTAAAATAGTAATTGAGGCTCTTGCCAACTTTTGTATGCTAGTGGTAGTATATATAGTTGTCTCTTAAGAAGTAGTCATTCAGAAATTTGTAATTGGAAACTTGGAGAGTGATGGCCTCAAGCCATTAACGTTTTACACAAGCCTTTGAGCTTAATCAACTGACTACCTTAATCCTTCCCTAATTATCCTGTTCATACACGCGTTCCGTTGCATAGGATGAACCGTTCACAATCTATATAGAATGGAAAACAATAATAAGGCTTCTCCCATGCCCAAGAATACTCCCAATGAACAATGAACTCTAAATCACCCACTATGTATATGACCAAAGTCAAAAAGAGAGAAATCCCTGTAAAATAAACATCCATCAGTAAAAAAAAAAAAATAATAATAATAATAATAAAAATAAAAAAATAAAAAGCCTGGTTTCTGTTAGCGCTTCTCATCCATTACATTTAGTACTGTAAGCACATGAAGTTCATCTACAGCAAGCGCAATAATGCTGTTAGCAAACATAATCCATCATATTTATTGCTTTGTTTTTTTTCTACTTTGATCTCCTTCCTCTTCTATCACCTCAAATAAGCTTAGTACACTACATATACCATATCTACTATGTGCCTAAGAAAACCAAGTTCAAGAGGACAGCCATTTTTCCCACTAATATAATGATTTTAGTCATCAGATTACCAAAACCCAAGTCACCCTTCTCCATAGGAATGTGATAGATTTGGTTAAGAGAAAAATTTATCTTCTCGGGAACAACTATTCAAACACAAACATGTAAATTGCTCTAAAGATAGCATATGCATGAATAGGAATAAACCAAAAACACTACCAAAGATTCTGTAACAAATGCAGAACACACTATACAAAGTTAAATCTTTCCATTGTAAAAGAGTGTATGTTTAGCATCAAGTTCAATCAAGTTCCAAAATGGTTTGAAAGACATCTAGATTCTAGAAATCTAGTCCTTCCATCGTTACCTATTAGATAAAAGCTTCAATGGTGCATTTGGTGATTATATTTGGTCTTTGTGCAGCCATATGATCCTAAATAGCTCATGCCTTAGAATTAAAATACTAGCAAATTATATCGTATTCGTTTTAAAAAAAATAAAAAATAATCTCAAAGGACAATACTTACTGTTTCCAAGTCTAGCACGTATAAATCATTGAAGCAAGTTGAATGAGAACATCCGCCAAATACCAGGAGGTAACGTTCAGCATGTACAGCAGCTGCATGATCATATCTTGGAGAAGGCGGATTCTGCCTATCAAAATAACAAGAAAGTGATGCACAGCTCATATGCAATCACACAAAGAGCTTGCAGAAAAGGGGAAAAGAAATACTCACGTAGCTTCAACTTTATTCCAAGTCATTGTGTCAAGGTCGAGAATATATATATCATTTAGAAGTTTCCGGTGGATATCTTCACCACCAAACACTATCAATTTTGAGCCAACCAGTGTGACTGACTCTCCTTCTCGAGCAACCTTAGCAAGAAAAAATACAAGGTTAAATAATTGTACGAACTTCAAAACTTGTGTACCATAACAAAATAATAGAACAATAAAAGAAAAGAGGTGCTTTGGAAAGTGAACAAACATCAGTCAGCATATTTTAGTTACCGGAATTTCTCCAATAGTCTCCATAACACCACATTGTTGCTTCTCTAGATCCAAAAATCGTACTGCAAAATTGACACACGGAATGTCAAATAATAAAGTACCTTTGACTAACAATAATAAACCAAATGAGAATAATGAGAAAATGGCTGAACCTGTTACACAACTAGAATATTTTGAATGCCCATCAAGTAGTAGCAACTTCTGTCCCCAAACAATCTGCAAACATGACAAATAAAATGCATAAGAAAAAATGTGTTTTACTTGGTTGGGATAATTATGGTTAGTCAATTTACCATATGGTGACCTGAGGTGGCTGGGAAGACTTGTACCAAGCTATCATTTTCAGATTTAGCTGCAGCTGGGGCAGCAGGAAGCTTCAGCGACAACCATGTAGTATTTGTAAAATCTAAAACCTAAAAATGCAAATGTACATTAGAAATGTCTTTCAACTACAATCAGCAAAAATAATGTCTTGGTTACTAACGTTAATAATAATTAAATATGAAATGATGATAACCTGAATATCTGACAAGTGGCGACCGTTACGACTACCACCAGAAATGAAAAGCCTTTGCCCGGCAACTGCTGCAGCATGCTAAAAAAGACAAATTAAAATGTTATACCTTGGTTCATATGAATAATCACGACAACAAAATATCAAAATATTGTTATATAAAACAAGAAAGGTAGGAGGAAGATATATAGTACTACATCCACCAATAACATAACACTATAACAAGTACAGAGTAGTACCTTTGATTATTTAGTTAGTATAGTTTTTGGTAAACTATGTGCTTAGTCTGGCGTTACAATTAATTAGAAAAAGGAGTACAAGTTTTCACAAAATAACACATGGAAAGACATATATGCTACAAGCAAGTATTTCATACAGACTACGACTTAAGTTAATGGCATTGACACAAACCCCATCTTTTCCATTACAAGTAAAGTTCCAAATCCAATAACCTTGACTGATTATACTGAACCAGAATTCTTTAAAAAATAAAAAACAATACCATTGAAGCCAAAAGAAAGCAATCTCAACTTAATTCACCCAAAGTCAAATATCTTTCTACCTTTAATGAAATTGCTTAAAATGCAGAAGAATTTAAACAAACAAAAACAGTCAATGATCACAACCTTATAGCGACCCGGCGGTCGACGACCGGCAACAGGAACTGTCACCCATTGATCATGTAGCAAATTGGAAAACCAAGTTCCAACATCAACATCCTGATCTCCATTTTCCATATCAACTGCTTCAGAATCGCAAATTATTAGTTCATATAACATGCCAAAAACAGATCCAATAAAATCAAAATCAAACAATTACCAATCAATAATTCACAGGCCCGTCCCTGAAGCAGGGCAGGAGGGAAAAGAGATCTAATTTCATATTCAATTATCTCGAAAAATACATAGTTTTAGGGATATTTGATTCAATAATCAGATTAGGCTCATAATTTTGGTTATGATGTTTCACAATCTAAGAATTTAGAACCAATAGTTGAGATTTACGAACCCTAAACATAAAGCACTGATAATTAAATTAGATTAGATCAGATATAAACGTTAGATTGTGAAATTGATATGATGAACAACAAACAACTTACCACAGGAATGCGCTTCAACGGAGAACATGAACTGCGCTTCAACGGTACTGCACAGTTCCTTGGGAATACATTTTTTGTAATACCTTTTTTTATTATTATTCAAATGTGTTTCGGGTGTTTTTGTGTCCCGGAGAGTTACAACTCGAAAACTGGATCCAATGGAGTTACCTGTACCTGCTAAAGAACGAAGCTCCGGATGTTCGGTGGTCTACCTCCGAAGATTATGTTACTACGGATTCGGAGTAAAACGTGCGGAAAGTAAGTATCTTCTCGGATTTCGAGATCATGTGTTCTCTGTTTTCGAGAGCAATAAATGATGTAATGATTTAAACATGTCCCAATGAATGGGGAATCTCCCTATTTATAGGATCCTAGGAAAGTGTGCCCCCTAGGGTTTGATGACTTAGGGATTTGGGATGCGCCGTTTTGCGACTATCTCGGTAATTGGGCCTTGAAAGCAGTCAATTTCTGGGAGGGTACTGCTTTGTTTTGGGTGTTTTTGTCCCTCGGGAGTGTTACGGTTCGAAAACTGGTTGCGCGCGGCCGGTACCTGCTAAATAAAGGAGACTCCAGGTGGCGGGAGCTCCACCTCCGACAGCCAAGTTAGTACTTGAACGAAAGTAGGAAAAAGGTGCGGAAATCTAGGTGGGATCTTCTCGAGTTCTGAGATCAGGTGTTTCTCTAATGTAAGATAATGTAGGATATGTTGTAATAAATTGTAGATGCCCCAAAAATGGGGGAATCTCCCTATTTATAGGGTCATTGGAAAATGTGCCCTTGATTAGGTCACTCTGACCTAATTCTGCTGGCTACGCCGAATTACAGCTTTCTCGAGATTTGGGCCCTTGAAGGCCGCCTTTTTCTCCCAAGTTCCAAGAAGAACACGTGATAGATGGAGATTGATCCAATTTGGACCAACCAGAGTATGACACGTGTCAGGACATGATTGACCCACGTGGCATGGATAAAATTACCCAAAACATTTGCCCCACACAGATGTGACGTAGCGCGCCACGTGGCATCTGTGACACATGTCACTTAGCCATAGGAAATAGTAATAAAGTTTTTTTCTGTAGAAGTTTAATCTTTCACATTCTGGGGAAATTACCAAGATGCCCCTGTTTTTACCCCTCTATAAATACACAATTTACCCCTCTCATTTTGGACGTTTCCAAAACATTCTAGAGAAAGAAAATCACTAAATCTTAGAGAGAGAGTCTGTCTTCCGTGTGTGTGTGAACACAAGCTTTGCTAATTTTCCGCCTGCCTTAGCCGATTTACAACCGCCTGTGCCCAAGCAAGCAAGGTCAACTTCAGCAGCATCTTAGTCGGTCATCACCGTTTGCCCCCCTTTCAGAGACAAACGTAAGGTACCGCCTCTACCCCCTTCAGCTCATTTACATTTGTTTCAATTCAATTTGTGAAAAACTACCTAATAAAAAAAAGGGTAATATTATATGTAGCCCTAAGGGCTATATATAAGCATTAAATATACTCTTGAAAATTGTATAAAATTAGGAATTCATGACAAAAACACACGTAAATCCGTATAATTAGTGTTTATATTTTTATGATTTCCTAATTTTATACGATTTTTAGTGTATATTTAATGCTTATATGTAGCCCTAAGGGCTATGTAAGATACTTTCTTAGACTGAATGTTGTAAGAAACTTCCTTAAAAAGGGTAAAATGTTGTAAGATACTACCTTAGACCGAATTTCCACTGTTGACTTAATTTTACAACGTTGATCCACATTAAACACCCCCAAAACCACTGTGAGGGTTGGTTTTCAAGATGTAAAGGTAAAATCGGGGTGGTTAGAGGATATTCCGAGTTGGAGAGGGTAGAATAATGCTTCGGTATTGTGGTTCTTGGGGTTAGAGGTGGTGTTTTTGGGGTTGAAAGGTGGTTTAGGTGTGGTAAATGCGATTTCAAGCAAGTTGTGTTAGTTTTGTGAATGAAAGCGGTGGTTTCGAGAGCATTTTGAGGTTGGTCAACGGTGAATATTAGATATAGGTAGTATTTAACAATATTTTACCATTTCTTAGGTAGATTTTTTTTTACAACATTTTATCTTTATTAGGTAGTTTATTACAACATTTTTTTTATTAGGGTAGTTTCTCACAAAATTTTGGTTTTATTATGTAGTTTTTTTGACAAAAAAATCCTTATGTTATTTGTATTTACATAGTATTTTATTTTATTCCCTTTTATTTTTTTATAATGTCATATTTTTAATTGAAAAATAAATGAATTATACTGCACATAACTATATAAGATAAGACATGCAAGTAGATTAAATCATTTCCTACCTCCCGTAGATAAAAATAAAGGTTTCTTATCATACCATTGCTTCAGCAGCTATACAATCGCGAATATTTGTTTACTCGTCGTATTCACCAAATCTTTAGACACAATTATAACCTTATATTTGACCCACCATTATATACATTTTCCTAAGCAAAGCATTGTGTCATAAACAATTACATAATATGCATACAACCAAGCAACAACTGATAAAACATACAACACAAATATATAGATATGGATATTGGTTAATTTTTGTACGAATAAAAGATATTTATTAAAGATTTGAAGAATAAAAGACAAATTTCATATATTGTAATTATTTAAATTTCGTACATAACCATTACATTAGTCAAGATTAAGCTGTAATATTAATTATGCATTAATATTACTGATCGGAAGCGGCCTCCACCCAGACATTCCGATCACTTGACCTCACTGAAAAATTATCTTTCTAATAATTCCGAATTTCCTATCGGAATAATACACTTGTTCGAAGGACACCATTCCTTTCAGCCGCCTCCAGAGACCAATCGGCCTCCGAAAGAAGTGTTGGTCCAGTCGGACCATGATTCTGGTGACGATGGAGACAACGAAACCTATGTGGCCCATGATGGGTCCCTCATGTCTAATGCATCTGTCATAAAGACATGCGGGAGCGCAATGCTAACCAGGCAGGTCCAAGCAGGCCCCCTGGACAGTCAAGTAAGCCCTCAGGGCAGCCGATTGATCCATCTAAGGCGGCAAGATTAGCCCCAGTCACCCGAGATGAGCTCATGAAATTCATGAGCAGCTTCAAGGGTGAAATTAAAGATTTGATCACCAAGCGGTCAACTACTCCTAGAAAGGAACATTCGGCCAAGAAACCAACTCAGCCTTGAAAGTAGAAGTCGGTCAGGGACCGTCTGCCGACTCCTCACCCTGCTCCAAAGGAGAAGGCTCGACCCCAAATAGAACTCTCAAGACTCTGTTTCCCTGAAAAAGGTGGCTAGGAAAGCCATCCGGCATGTACAGCCGGATGGTAGCAAGAAAACATTCTCTGATGCTCGACATGGTACATGATGAGTGTCATTTATGACACTCTTAGGCTAGGTTTTCTTTATAGTTTTACTCTCATTTTTGGTCTTTTATGCCGTGTTTTTATATAATAATGCTTGCTTTGCGTGTTTATGTGTAAGTCTAGAGAAATGCAAGCTTTTAATGGTTTTCTTGTCATTTTGTTCATTTCTCGACTATTTCTCTCGCTTCTTTGTTTCCTTGACTTTTTTTGTAGGTGTGTGTGGAGTTTCCCGAGGTTTGATCATCAAGGAGGAAGCTTGAGCGCATTCAAGAAGGTTGGAGCTAAGTTCGGGTTTCCAAACATGTCATTCAAGCTAGCTTCACAAGCACAAGGACCTTAGATGCAATGCATTGGCATGAGGCGTTTCAAGTGCTTGGAAGATAAAGGAGATGCTTCTCTCATGAGCATTTCCTCGAGTGCACCAATGATAGGGATGCTCGTGAAAGGAATGGTGTCATTCGAACAAGTGTATTATTCTGATAGCGGGTACAGAATTATTAGAAAGCTAATATATTCAGTAAGGTCAAGTGATCGGAATGCCTGGGTGGAGGTCGTTTCCGATCAGTAATATTAATATAATTAATATTACAGCTTAATCTTGACTGAACCCTTCGGGTCACACCCAAGAAAAATATACGAACTGACTTGACGAATTAATTCGGAAAAATTAATTCGTCGCTCGAGTGTTAAATATTTAGACGTCGGTAATTCGAGCTTGGAGCGTCAAAACCAATCGTCGGAAGTCGAGTCAAAAATAATAAAAAGACGAGACGCGCAAAATAATAATAAATCGACCATATTCCCAAAATACCCCTAGCATCGGAATGCCCCGAGCATCCGAATGCTAGGGGCAAAAATGTCCAAGCATAGGTGGCTAGCAAGCGCACCAAGCCGAGCCTAGCATGGTTGGCTAGGTGCGTGCTAGCGCACCGTGCTAGCAGCCACGCACAGCAGCAGCTAGCAGCCGCGTGCACATGGTGCGTGCAACAGCTAGCTGCCGCAAGCTAGGCGTGCTAGCAGCGCACGCACTAGCAACCACGCACAGCAGCAAGCCCGGACCAAGTGCGTGGCTTGCGCGCACAGCAGCAGCCCGCATCTTGGTGCGGGGCTGGGCTCGGGCTGGGCTCGTGGCTGGGCCATAGAGCTGGTCACTATGGGGAAACTTGAGGAATATGGGAGCAAGTGGGTAAGGACATGTGGCACAAGGAGAGTATTGAGTGGGGAGCAAGTATGGTCCCCTACTCTCCATGTGGTCCTCACTAACCCATTTCACATGGTAATGCCACTTGTAGATTTATTATTAGTTTGCAATTTTAATTTAATTTAGCATTAAATTAATTTGTGGAATTTCATGATCCCACCTTGATGGGATAGAAATTTCCACTCATACTTTCCTCTATAAATACCAACCTTGGGATTTGGAGTAAAGTGCTTGAGTGGGAGTTAGAAAGAGCATTCCATATTTTGGAAAAACTCTTAAACTCCATTAACACTTGGGTTTTGGTCGGACCTTGCTAACTCCAAGGTAGCGGACCTAAAAAGTCGTGTTCGTCCTTTGTGGGTGGATACC